TAGACTAAAGAAAATAAGTGGTTCGTTTAGATGTCAGAGTATACGCTTTTACAATAAAATTCCCAGCCATATCCAAAATCTGAGTCTAAATAAATTTAAAAATGCCATTAAAGATAAATTTTATAGTAAAGCTTTTTATAAAATTAAAGACTACCTAGATGATAGTCTGGCTTGGGAATAGGCTGCTGTAACGTCCACACGGGTCATGTTGACATGTTTGTAACATATAGTTACATTTCTTGACATTGTTTTTCATACATTGTTCTAACTTGACATTTGCTTTTTCCTTTACAATTGTTAGTGCTAGGACCGTGCGAGACTTTGCCTCACCATTTCTTTTCTAATTACCCATATTCTGACAGTTTGAGTATTTGTGCGACCCACGCAAATGTTCTTTAGGTTGGTATTGTTCGTCGAATCAGTCAGCCTCACCTGTTAATTGAGCCGACTGTAAACCGACACATGCGTACTGCCTTCAGAACGGGTCCGCTCAAACTGTTGTGGTTCTTTCCTCAAAAGGCCACTACAGAAAGAACTTGCACGGTTCTCACACATAATCTTTTATACATATTGTCTGGACTTTAAAAGAGACAGACCTCTGAGTTTGTTTCGGCATTTCTTCTCAGAGTAGTCAGTTAGGAAATGTCGACCTCATCGTTCGCTTGATAAAATTGACGTGTAAAAGTGCTGCCTTGTAGCCTATTTGCAGAAATAAATTCACTTGTTTCACTTGTTTCACTTGGTAAATATGTATTCTGGCAAATAAATGAATTTGTATTTGAATTTGAAAAGGTTCAAGTTTATCAGAAAGCGGTGCTTCCCGGTCTCAGTCAGTAGGGGTGTTCAAAAATATATTTGTTTTTGGTAAGCGAATCGACGGATCACCTGGTAAGACATCGGCGTCACCTATGGACACCCGGAACACCAGGGGCGTTGCAAATGCGCTACCGGCCTTTTGAGAATTAGGAATTTGTGGATTGTTGGGGATTCAGGGATTGGGGAGATTGGGAAAGGGGGGAGTAATTGGGACTCCGACAACCTAACTTACTACGAAACACAACGCAAGCGTTGTTTCACGTCGGTTTACTGTAGATCCGTGGTATCAGTCCGGTCGAGCCGGCCTATTCGTGCCGAAGCATGGCTCTCCCGCACTTATTAGTATAGTGTTGTTTCTTTCTATTTTAAAATAACATTTTTTAATATTTAATAGAATAGCGTTATCCTTAATAAGTAATTTCTCAACAGAACTTTTAGAGCCACTGTTTACATGTGAACATATCTCATGACGTCACAATCGAAATCATTGGTATCTAACTAGATAATTGTAATATCTATCTACTAAACGTAGGTATGGACCGTTCTACGCATTAATAGGTAATAAATTTTTAGTACATGTCTTTAGTTAATTATACCTATGCACGGCAATTGTACTGAGATACTTATTTAATCATGGATTTACCTTGGTGAATTCCTTGGTTTGAAGGAAATCTGTACTGATAATTGGGTATTTTTCTACCTATAATTTCAGTCATTAAGACTACATAGAAGCTTAACGAATAACAACGAAACTTAAAAGAGTAACGAATGGAGTTTCTTGCTCGTTCTCCTCCATTCGAATCTACAATTTGGAACCAACGCCAAGCTTCGCTGACGGACAGACAGACTGAAAGCCAACTATTAGTTATTTTATATTTGTTGATGTCTCAAAAGGACCAAATTATGGTTTAATTAAAATAAATGCTTTGGGTTTGACTTTGACTTTGACTTTGACTTAAAATTGTCGACATTACCTTAGTCCAAATTAACAAGCCATAGTTGCAGTGGGTCTGTGAGCTGTTGAAGAACCGATGACTGTTGTAGTACGCGCATTCTGGAGTAAAGACCGCGTCTAGGCAAACGCAGTGTTGGGCGTCCTCCAGCTGACGACAGATGGAGTGACGACATCCGCAAGGTGGCTGGCAGTGGTTGGATGAAAAGAGCTGAAGATTAAGTTCAGTGGAGCAATATTGGAGAAGACGATGTCCAACAGGTGTTAAAGAATTAGGCTGACAGAAGTTAGATGCTTAGAAATGGCAATTTTTTTTTTATATTTGTTGGATCGACGTTCGACCACTATCTCGCGTGGTGGTAAGCTATAATGTGGTAAGATGGACCACGTCGTCTCATAAGCAACCTATTTACTCGGGCCTTGATGACACCTAGGTAAAACAACAATAATATTTAGCCGACATTAAGTCTCTTCGACGAACAACATGTTTAAAAGCTTTACACATAATAGTAAAAGAATGGTCTGTCAGTGCATCGTACTCCTTAAAGTTCAAAGTCAAAGTCAAAGTCAAAATCAAAGCATTTATTTCAATTAAACCATAGTTTGGTACTTTTGAAACGTCAACAAATACAAAATAAATAATAGTCTGTCAGTCAGTCCGTCAGTGAAGCTAGGTGCTCATTCCAAAACGTAGATTCGAATGGAGAAGAACGAGCAAGAAACTCCATTCGTTTCTCTTTTAAAAAAGTATGTTCTACAATGTCTCTGATACATATTTCAATACTGATACATATTTCAATACTAGTTGTTTGCTCATTCCAAAGTAAGTATAGACTCAAGGATATCAAGCAAGAAACTCCATGGTTACCGTGTTTGTACCTCTAATATGTATAGTATTATCATATTTACTTTATCAGTTCTGTAGATAGTGTTCCACGTATATTTTGGAGTCCAAATATAGCAAAATATTAGATAACAAACGTATAACTTAAAGTTCTGTATTCTATAACTTATTATAGTTATTTTATGGCGTCTCCATCGTGCCGTATGTATCTTTTTTTTTATGGCATAAGCCGGTAAACGAGCAGACGGATCACCTGATGGTAAGCAATCGGCGTCGCCCATGGACACATGGAACACCAGAGGCGTTACAAGTGCGTTACCGGCCTTTTGGAGATTAGGAGTTTGAAGTTTGTTGGGGATTCAGGAATTGCGGAGATTGGGGAAGGGTAGGGTAATTGGGCCTCCAGTAACCTCACTCACACGACGAAACCCAACGCAAGCGTTGCTTCACGTCGGTTTTCTGTGAGGCCGTGGTATCACTCCGGTCGAGCCGGGCCATTCGGGCCGAAGCATGGCGAGCCCACACTTACAGTCTCTGAGATATTATATAGAGACTTAATATGTCTGAGAAAGTTATATAGTCATATTTATAACTCAAGAGCGGTTAAATCTGTTAGGTTAAATATTTGTGGGAAAGTAGCTTAGAATAAGGGGACGGATATAGGATACTTTTAATTCAAGGTTTTCCCGAAACCTGACTGCCTCGTTGGCTGAATGGTCGCAAGTGCGACGGCCGAGCAAGGGGTCTCGGGTTCGATTTTCGGGTCTGGCAAAGTATTAATGGGTTTTTTAAAAAAAATCTCAGTAGTGGCATGGAGTCTGGTTGTACCCAGTATATACAAAAACATATATAGTGAAAAGTGTGTGTTACATTAGACAGTGGCATTAAGTGCCGTAATGTGCACCTCTGCCTACCGTTTCGGGGATAAAAGGCGTGACGTTGATGTGTGATTTCCCAAAAAGTCCTACTGGAACGGGAAGTACGAAGTCGCGGGCAAGCAAGAAGCTAGTTCTTAATACGTATAGAGAGACTCCTCCGAGCTGAGAGATCGGGGAGACAGACCCGGCCGTTGAACTAACATTCCTAACATACGGCCAGACCCAGAAACTGAATGACACATAGTTCAATTAAGAAAAGAACTTGAGAAATAAAAACATGCGAATTATCGGAATTAAAAAAAAATACATGCAATCAATACACAGATAACACCATCTACAGCAAGTGACAGTCCACTGTTGGAATTTGGACCGACTCCACATATCTAAGAGGGTTTGTCATAATCTCCGCAGGCAGGGTAGAAGATCGCAGTATACAAGGTTCAGTTTTATCAGAGAGCGCTGCTCCATCTCTGCTAAATTTGTCATCACTATCTCCAACAGTCCATTTAAGTTTCCTAATGGTGTCATTACCATCATCAGCATCATCATCAATAGCCAGAAGACTTCTACTGCTGGACAAACGCCTCCCCCTTAGTCCTCCACGTTGATCGACAACCCGAAACCTGCATCCAATAGCTCTAAAGATTAATATGGTGGTGGCCCGGAGGTTTAAGACGCCCACTTCCCATGCATGAGAGTGCGGGCTCGAAACCTACCAACGGCAGGTACCAATGTGACTTTTTCCGAGTTATATGTACTTTCTGAGATTATTAAGACACCACTGACAAACGGTGAAGGAAAACATCGCGAGGAAACCTGGGCTTATAATTTCTAATTGTAAGTTTGAATCGCCAACCCGCATTGAGCAAGCGTGGTGGTTAATGCTCAAACCTACTCCGTGTGAGAAGAGGCCTGTGGTCAGCAGTGGCCACTTATAGGCTGTTGATGATGATCTTGTTGATAAGGTATCGAGTGGTATAATGGTTGAGGAGAGATTGGCAGAAGTCTTTGAATCTTCAAAGTCAAAACATTGATTTCAATTCGATAATATGAAAAAGCCAGCATGCAGGTGGCGAGTTGTCGTTCGAGGTAGAGGAATAAAGAGAAGGCCTTTGTCCAGCAGTGGACGTCTTCCAGCTGTTGATGATGATGATGATGATGATGATAATATGAAAAAAACCGCCAGAGGCTCCGTTTCTTTGCTCTTAAGTGGACATGTTATGGTAGAAGCTTTTTAAATAGCGCCATTTTTTGTTCAATTTTCTAAAGACGATGACGATGACAACAAAATAATTTTTGCTAGCGATGATGTATTTATTATTTATTACCAGACAGGAAAACCTTCCTAAGCAGTGACTCAAAAAAATTACGCCAACAGTTACTGACTATTTTTACGGCTATCTATCCAGTATCAATATTTTCGGCTTATCAACGAATTGATAAGGACGCAACAGGTGTTCAGAATATAAGGTAAAATGAATCATTGGAATATAGATTACTGAGTCAAAAACCCATCACCACGGCGGCTGTGTGGTCGAGAGAAATTGAGAAAAAAAAATAAAATTGCGAGTGACTTTTTTTGTTTCAAGTGCGAGTGAGAAGTTTAAAGACGTATAGCTATCCTTGTCTATTTCGGTTCATGATCTTGTGCAGTGCTTTTTTCATATTCTTGTGTGTTATTGTGAAAGTTATAAAGGTTGGTTGATTTTTTTAATATTTATATCTATATTTTTAGCAGTGATTTAGAAAAAAAAATAAACAATAAAAAAAACTACAAAAACGCGTCACGCTATCGCAAAATAAATCAAATAATAAACAATAATAAATCAAAAATATTAAAAATAACTAAAAATTCAATAAAGTACTTACAAAAAAAAACAATCTATTCAAAATGACATTCTAACCATCTGACACAGAGACGAAAGCGTATCTCTAAAAGTCACTAGTAACTCCTCTAGTGTTCCGGGTGTCCATAGGTGGCGCTGACTACTTAACCATCAGGTGATCCGTCTGCTCAAACGAGCAGATAGTAAGCTCATCATAATAAACTTATTGACATGAAAAGATCTGACCAAAGTCAAAGTCAAACTCAAAGCATTTATTTCAATTAAACCATAGTTTGGTACTTTTGAAACGTCAACAAATACAAAATAAATAATAGTCTGTCAGTCAGTCCGTCAGTGAAATTAGGTGAAGCTAGGTGCTCATTCCAAAATTCGAATGCAGAAAAACGAGCAAGAAACTCCATTCGTTACTCTTTTTTAAAAAAGTATGTTCTACAATGTCTCTGACCTTAACTAATACATATTAACCTGAATGATGTTTCTAGAACATCGTATACTAAACTGGACTTCAACGAGTTTCAAAATTAGTTTCATATATTATTCAAGACCTTAATGTACTCCTTGTTCCAAATTTTGTCCCGATCCCTTCAGCTGCAATGACGTGAACAATTAACAAACAAACTTACAAATTTTCCCATTACGGCGGACCTAGGTACTTGAAACAACGACTCTATCATCTGGTCGGGTCTGGATGTCATGTGTATGTGAACTTGTATGTTTGTAAACGCACCCACGATACAGGAGAAAATGAGTTCGGTTACTGGAGCCCAATTACCCACTATAATCCCACTTAGTTTTTAGTCAAATTTCCGTGGTGCTTGGCGACTGGGCTTCACCCAGTTGTACAGTCTCTTTTTTGTGCCTTTAGGCTTAATTCATTTAGTCTCCTGCAGTTATTCACAGAGGGAAGTAGGAAACTATCGCTTTTTTTATATTAAAATATCTTCTGATTCACTACGTTGCGGGAACCAAGACAGTTACTCATGTCCCTGGGACGCGCCGGACTTCAGTGTTCCGGTGTTTTCATGTACTGTAGATCCTGGCTTACAGGAGTTGCAGCGGTTTTGAGAGGTTGTGGCGGGCTCGTCCCTTAAAAACAGGAGAAAATCCTAGAGTAGGGCAAAAAAAGCTGACTACTATAGACTTACACGCAAAACATAACATACACATTGACACGAAGGACATCTGTCATTTTTTTAACAGTCGAATTTTACCAACGCCAGATATTTTTTAACTGAGGACTAACTTT